TTTGGGGAGCTCATAAATAATGACTTAGAAGAAAAATGATTTAAGATTACAAAACTTTTTCAAGAGCAAGTCAAGGTGCCAGCATATTCAAAAGCCGACGGATGTGTTGGGGCAGGTGCTTCACGAGGGATGTGCTTTGTATCTTTGATGTGACAAACATACTGCAGTAAATTTATAAGCGTGCACTTGCTGCTGCCTTTTCCAAAGCCCTGCCACTAAGCCGTCACCTTTAGCTCAGTCACTGCTCACGCTGAGAGTGAAGAGTAAGGATTATCTCCTTTTGCTAGAAATGCTTCGCCTAGTTCACTGGACTCTTTGCAATGACAGTGGTGTGCAACAGGTCCCACAGATTTGGGGAAGTGGTAGTGGGTGCATTTTATAGCACTCGTGCATTTGAAATTTTTCATGTTGGCATCTCCCTCTTTTGGAAGTATTTATGGGGCCTCACTTTTGCTATGGATCATTTTCTGACATAGGCTGGGCAGTTCTTCAAAGAATCCCATAGATAAGACACTGAGGCAGAGAGAGAGACTAAGTGGATTTCCCGTAGATGTGTAAGAAATCAGCAATAGTGCAAGGAGATGAATAGTGCAAGGAGCGTCCTAACCACCGAACTGTCCTTTTCTCCCCTGTGCAATGCAGAATACATGGAATACGTATCTTTTCATGGATAACTTTTTGGAATACGTGTCTTTTCAAAAGGCTGACATTAGGTTAATGATGAATCTTACAAAATGAAATAAGAAACACATTAATTTTGATGTGGCAGGAAAGTGCTTTCCTGATGAAGTAGTAATTAAATAAGAAGGATAGTTATTAAAGAACTGGTAAATCTAGTGTTCTCTATCCCTCCTATTTCAGCACTTCTAGCAGCAGTTCTGGGTAAGGAAAAGGAGTGTTTCTGACAAGTGTGAAGTCCCACCAGAAAAATATAAACGGAGCAATGTGTCATAAGAATCTTAAAAATATGAAACAATGTCAAATAAATGAAATCAGTTTTCAGAAGAGAATAATAAAGGCTGAAAAAAGGTACCCAGAAAGCCGGAAGACTTTTCTATTTTCTTAATTGGGGTAATTATACTAAAACTGACAGCAAATATTTTCCCAGTAGCAAAAACCACCCACAAACTCCCGCCAGCCAAAATACCGCTCTGAGCGTGAGATCTGTGAAGGTTAAAGGCTTGAGTCTGCCATTAGGAGAGTGCTTCTCTTCTCCCAAGGTCAGTCCTTAAATGTGGAGAAGTAATTTTGGTTCTGGTCTCCTCAGTTCAAAGTCAACGCTTACCTTGATTTCAACAGTGCTATATTTGGCGAAGTACTAATATAATTGTATTTGGTCCCAGTCTTGTCCTGTTTGAATGTTAAACGCCTCTTAATACCAAGTCCGTTATGTTCTCTCTCTCTCATAGTTTAGGTGATGTATAAAATAGCAAGCAGTGTGGACCCACTGGAACAATCCCTCCAGGGAAACTAATGGTGCCAGTGTCCACACTACACGTGTTTTGGGGATTTTACTTCAGACCAGCTTTTGTCTGGACCCCTGCTCCCATTGACTGAAATTTCCTTTACTGTTTTTATAGCACATGAAGAGCTCATGGAGCACGTCTTTGGGTGTAGTTTCATCCAAAAAGGATGCAGTTCATGCAGTCCTAGGCTGCACCACAGCGTGAGACAAATCCAGTACACAGGCATGACTGGAGCAACAGATGACCTCCAACAAATCACACTGTGCATCAGCCCATGTATAAACTTGCAACTGCTGTTGCCTCCTTGTTGTTCCTTCATGTTCATCACGGCCCCAGTCACCAGCTTCTCCATGCGTATTTCACCGCATCACGCTGAGGACATTCTCCCTCAGTTAAGGCCCCTTAGTGAGACAGAAATAACCTGGCAGTCTGAGTCGCGTTGGCAGTGTTTGGGCTTGAAACCCCTCGGTATCTCCTTGCTAATAATTAGAACTTGCAAAGAGGAGAAAAGTGATTGTACAACCTCAGGTCAGAGATTGTGCAGCCCAGGGACCCCCTTGCATGCATTACGTAGTAATGGGTGCCTGGGAAAGACTTAATAACAAGGCAAGGATGTGGTGGTACTTCCCAAGCATTCTTTCTTAGCTTCCAAAAAATTCACAACCCAACGATTTCCTAAGCCAGAGGCTTTGTCTTTATATCTAATAGCCTTTGATATGTTTTTTTCTTTTGTGAATTATTTAGCTACTTTTTATATTTGTGTTAATTTTAGGATCTACAGTGTCCTGCAGGAAGGAGTTTGACACTTTAACTTCATGCTGCACAGTCTGGATTTATTAAGAAAAGACTGTGGATGTTAATAAGAGGGGTTCAGATGCCCCCATGCTGCCTCTGCTCACATTCATCCTAGAAACAGGATTGTCTAGTGCATGTGGTGCAGAGTCGCCATGCCCAAGTTAAGAGTGTCGGTGGATGCAGTGCATGTACAAATCCACCCCAGCTGGGGCTCTGCACCGCTCTGTGGGGGTTTAGGTTGATGCAAATGGAAAACTCTTCCTAAACCATGGGATGCAGACAGACCCATTGTACCTTCTCTGGCTTTTTTCAGAGCCAGAAGGGCTTGGCCCACAAGATGCTTGGGTACGATTATGTTTCTGTGGAAGCCAGAGGTGCTGAATCAAGACTGCTCAGCTCTTGTGGGAACCAGCCAGCAGGGACTTCACCCTCCCCTTGAATCCTTGTGTTCCAGGCCTGGGACTTTATCAGGTCGTATTTGTGATCCCACTTGATTTTTGAAATAAACAGTAAGAAGAAAATACTTGGCCAGAGGCAAAACTTCCCAGTTACTGAAGGGGAAAAGAACACAATATCTAAATGACTCATGGCTTTGAGGGTGAAGTAATGACTGCGTGTCATAGCTTGGGATGTGGGTTTGTGGTCTGATGGCACACAGAGTGGACGCGCTTGGGTTGTGAGGTTAATGTAAATGGCTTTGGTAGGAATTGTCCTGTGACTTACTAGAGCCAATTTGCTTGTTAAGATATCACTGATTGCAAGGCGGCAATTAATAAGGCACGGAGGGCACCCACCAGATGCGAAGCTGAACCAAGCCCTCCTTTGGACACCAGCCAGTGGCAAATATGACAAAGCCCTTCTCCTACTAGAAGAGCTAGGTCCTGCAGGAGGAGTTGCAGGTGACTGTGGCTGGAGGAGCAGTGGGGACCAGGGAGTTTCTGAGGGCTGGAAGGGAACCTGGAGGGGGGCAGCAGGAGCCAGCGTGCCCTGGGAGGTACCTGGTGCCTCTGAAGTTTTGCTCTCCTGGGGCAGGTTACCCAAAAACCTGCTGGATGAGCACGTTCTGATGTCTGATGCAGTCTCCCTCTGCCTGGTGCCCCCTGCTCCTGATGACTTGCGTCTGCTGTGGGTGCCCCGAGGTTACTGCCTGCCTTGTTCTTGTTTTCCGCTGAATCACTTGGTGACGCTAAGGCAAAACCGTAAATGCTAATGCAAGTGTAAGTATAAAGGCCAGTGGCACCTCTGCATACCCCCGCCTCTGCCTTGCTCACCACTAATTGCTTGTACCTGTTAGGATTCAACCGCAATGCCCTTTCTAGGAAGTTGCGAGCAGTTGCTTGTCCTATATATGAACAACTTGCAGATCCCACAACATACAGGCGGTTTTGTCTGGATCCTCTGTTTTTCCTCTCAGTCTCTCCATCACAGGATTTCCTCACCTCTCCCACTCCTTTCCATCCTTTTGCTGTGCAGGCCAGGAGCTCGGTGGAGCTGCAGGTCAAGGCTCTCCTCTGGTGATACCTGCTGGAGGGCACATGTTCCTCTGCAGGCAGCGGCCAGTTCTGGGGGAGCCCTTCCCACCCTGAACATCCATGCTGCGTGGGGTCTAGTGGTTTTGCTCTGTGGGTTAGCGGAGGGAGGAATGAGGGAAGTGCCTGTGTCCCCTTTCTCCTCCAACCAAACCCCTTCTATAGGCAGGAGATGTTGGGGAGCATTTTTTACTACATCCTACCACTGCTTCCTGCAGCAGAAACATCACGGGATATGGTTTGCAGCTTGGGAGACAACAGCAGGGCATTGCCTGAACCCAGCTGTTGGCAGATCAGTTTGCTTTGGGAAACCAGCCTTTTTCAGTTTTCTGGGGCGCTTTGGTTTGCCCATGAGATCAGAATTTGCAGTGTTAGATAAGCACAGATAAATAGAATGTATCCATTTCTAATTTGAACAATCAAATATTTATCCAGGTCTCAGCACCTGGCTGGAAGAGCAAGGGAGCCTCTTTGTTTGTGGCTCCAGCAGTGCCAGGAGTCAGGGCTAGCCCTGCACTTGAAGAACCTTCTTTTTTAAGCAGTTCAGGGGCTGGGGCTGCTGCTTGGGAAATGGCTGTATCCTCCCTGGAGGCAGATCGATACATTTCAGCTCACTGCACTGCAAGTAACTTTTCAGCGTACATTAAGAATGAGGAAAATAAAAGCCAAGATGGATGTTATTTTGGTTTTGCTTTTATTTTGAATTATTTATTGGGAAGTCACTGCTGTCTTCCTTCTCGTCAGGAGACAAAATGCCTTTGTCTTTGGTGGTTTTTCCTATTAAAAACAAACGAGGTCTTACCAGTTTTATTTCCCTCACCCTCTTCCTTCTTGGTACTGAAGTGTAAATCTAGGGTCTCCGCAACTTGATCAGATGGTCTCCTGCAGCCCTAATGTGGGCAAAGTCCCCACTGACGCTGGTGGAGTCACACCTCGTTGCTACATTTCTAATCAGTTTTATAACGACATTGCCGACGAGTTATATGCGTTACGAATGATTGCTGGCACATAAGCAGAGAGTGTTATGGAGGGTTATAATTAATCTACAGGCTAGCTGAACTATCATTTTAATTAAACATAAATAGCTAGTAAAAACATTCATCCTTTTAAAGTGAATTCTTAATAGGAAGTGTTACGGGGCAAAAATTCTGCAATTGGCTTGGAAACTCAAACTAACAATCCATTTTGATGTTTTTCTTCCTAAATCTAGGTTATCCTGAAGGGGAGGATAAAGAAACTGGTCACCAAGATGGTAATCACTAGTGGAAATGAAGAAGATAAAGGCAGTCAAGAAAAGGAAAGCAAAGAAGAAACCATCTTGGCAATGCTTGGAATTATTGGGACAATTCTGAACCTCATTGTGATCATTTTTGTGTATATTTACACAACGTTGTAAACTAGAAGGCATGCAAATAGACCAGATAAAATGGCCATTAAGAGTGACGACAAACATTGCTGACTATTGACAAGTTGTTTAATCAGAATTGACTGTGTATTATATTAACACATCATAAAAGCACTGCCTGCAGGCAGCGAAGGCTGAAGCACAATTAATTTAACAAGACTTTTTCACACAGTAACAAGCTTAACTCTTCTGTCCTGCCCTCTTCCTTTCGGTTTGGGGGAAAATGACCGCAATTATGTAAGCTGTAGCTTTGAAGGAATCCACCAGGGATATGTCGTTTTAACACAATTAAAAAAAAAAATAAAAAGAAAGCAACTGTACACTATATACAATTAGAAATGTATACTGTATACTCGCAAAGATTGAACTCAAAGATAACATCATAGCACAGATCACGTGTCCGTTAGGTCAAATGATTTTTTTCTCTTGGTTTTTGCTTTTACTTACATTGAATCTGACAAGCTTTTTATTTAGAATGAACATATGATGCAATCATGAAAAAAACAATTCCATTGAGCAAGGTCTGCCTAAACCTGATAAAATGTTGGGAGAAATACATTACATGGTTATTTTTCCTTTCTCATTTGCTTAACATCTGTGTCTGTTCATACCAATGTTTATAAATATATATTTTTAATAAATGTGCTATATTTTTAGCATGAACCAAATATTTGGAGACACTTGTATTCATGCAGCTAAATTTTGTTTGATGAAGTGTCCTTTTTGACAATGGATGTTATTTTTCTCAGCAATTATACAGCAGTCTTGTTTGCAGCCCTCTCACTGTAGTCTGAAGCAAGCTCACATCATGCTCATATGCATGACTTGAAGTTGGAATGTCAGCTGAAAAGCATTGCTGCTTAATACGGGAAATAGCAAAACATTGTAAGGTGACCTTTGGAGACTGGTTGCAGAAAGAAGGCTCTATTTATAGTTTAAAAAAAAAAAAGCAAATGAAAGGAATATTGAGGCATCTCACAATATTTCAAAATTCACAGAATTTATGGCTTTCAGAATCTGGTCATGCTCTCTAAGTACTTATATTGAGAGAAGCGAGCAGAGGATTATGCATTTGAAAAGAGAAGTTTAGAGAGCCTGGAGTGAGGGGCTTAAGCAAAATCCAGACTGTAAATACAGAGTATATTTCAAATGTGAGGATGATTAACCCTTTACGCTTCTCTGACATGTGCTTTAACTGAGGTCGGTGCAGTGAAATTCTCTGACTTGTGTTTTTGGCAGGAATGTACAATGAAGATGATCACCATTTTTCTTCAGAGTTCAGTACCTATAAATATATGAAGCATTAAAAATATGAGACCTCAATTCTGCCTCAAGCTGCCTAAGTACGTTGCCCATTAACTCTGACATATCCTCTTAAAAAATAGGTCAATTAATTGTTTACTGACTTGTGGTTTGTATTGCGTCCGCAGATGCACAAGGGGGAATTGCTACTGAAGTCAGCTGGAGCTGTAAAAAGTTTGATCCTAGAGTCTCTCTGATTTTAGTGGTCAGTCCTGTTCCTCTGGAATCAGTAATGAGCTTTCCACCGGTTTCCAGGGGCTAGGACTGGTCTCAAAAATTACAGAATTTCATTGCAGGATATAAAAGCAAGCCTGGAAAACCCTGAAGGGCACCTCTCATAAACAGAGGTGTTTACTCTCTTGTGGTATCGCACATTCAATAAGAAAATCATCAGGAGAAGGGAAAAGGTCAGTAAATAAATTAAAATGAAATCCAATGTGAAGACTGAAGGAAGAAAGAGCAAAAATAATCTCCTGTTAATAAAAACATGACAGGGTGAGAGAGGTGAGAAAATGAGCATAGATTTGAACAAGCAAAGAACGGTACAGAAAGAGGGTGCCAAGCACACCAGGGTGGTGGAGGACACACTTGTGTTTGGAGAGTGCTGGTAGAGCTGCAGGTCTTGGAGAGGGTGAGAAACATCAGTGGCACAGTTCAGTGGAGCTGAGTGAGGCTGATCTTGGTTTTTAATTTATAGCTATTTATTGGTAATTCTAAGGAATTAGCAAACTCTGCTTTTTGATCATTCTGAATGAAAAAAAAAATGGCTAAAATATATTTGTCTCCACTCTGCCTTTTTTCTATGGGTTAAACTACTGCTGATCACGGCGTGTGGCAACGGCATCAGCGCTCCTGTCCCAGAACACACCTGCACATACTCCAGGCACCTGGCTGATTCCAGCCTGCCCCTCGCGCTGGCAGGACCCTCTCTGCAGATGTTTCTCTTGAACCTCTCCTCCTCCTTCTCCAGCAAACACCAAAGCAATCTGCCTGAGGCTCGTACCCATCTTCTAGAAGGGGAGCCTGGGAAAGGGCAGTGTCCGAGTCAAGAGATGAGCTCTGATGCCTGATATTTCTTTGCCTCTCTCTGCTTTGAGTGATAATACCTGTCATCTTCCTGTGGGCACGAAGATGCTTAATGAATGAAATTTCATTAAGTACTTCTATTAATATTACAAATTAAAGCTCTGCATTGTAAAACAACATAGAATCCCCTCCTCCCCAAAGTAAAGTAGCAACTTTAGCTGCTCATCACAGTTGCACTCCTTCGGACATGGGCCAGCATCTTTGCCAGGACAGGTACTGCAAATAGCCCAAACATGCTTAAGCTGAACTGGTGGATCAAAAAGCCTAAAGACTCTGTGTTTACTCTGCCTTTCCCACAGAAGACCTGTTCAGGGAAGAGTTTCCAGCTGTGGGTGTGCTGTACTTTGCCTGTTAGCATAGACAGTGTGTCCAGGTGCCTGTCGCCCTGCGCTGTCAGCAGCCATGTGCTGTACATTTTGCCATGGGGCTTTTATTGCACCCTGAAATAGGAAGAAAGGTTTATCCCATTCCATAAAAAGTTTAACACTTAATATTTTAATTTTACAGGTTCCTGTTCACAGATAGTTCTAGAAATATCCCGAGGCAAGTACTTCTTAAGTAGATTCATTAAGTATTCATTTAAATAAAAATGAAGAGTTTCCTTCGAGGGCAATTTCTTTACCTTTTATTTGGTATTCATGAACACTGATATGGGAAAAGTATGTTTTCAAGAATGACTGTGAAAGGGAAATGTTTTGTACAAAGATCTGAAAGTATGCCTACCCAGGCAGCTGCACGCAGGTCTGCTTTCGGCCGAATGCCAGCTGGAGCCAAACTACCCTTATGCTTTTTTATGTGAGCAGTTTTCAGCATGCACCTATAAGAAATATTCAACTAGGTAACATATATGTCATGGACACCTTATAGTCAGTAACTGCAGTATAAACAGTTGAATAAAACTTCTCATTATGGGTGCTGAATGGTAAATCTGCTTTGGCAAGGAAAATGCTGATAGTCTAATTTTTGGCTTGACTTGTAGGTAATGCAAATAGTTTCCAAAGCACATTTTTTTTAAAAAAATATTACTCCATTAGTGAAGGAACTTTCATGTTTGCATTTGAGTAGAAGGAAATAAATATCCAATATCTTAATAAGATATGAAAACATCACCTTTTGCTTCTGTCAACTAAGAATACCATTGTATTTTTAAATTATCCTGTGTAGTTTAATCGTTTGTGTTATGGGAATGAAAAATAATTTCCTGAGGTGACAGGAAGGTGACATTCTCCCCGCTAGTGTCTGGTGTGTTGTCTGGTGGGTACAGAAGACTTTCAAGAAAGAAGATAAAACTGTTTAAATCACATTATGCACACAAGAAAGTAAGGAGACAGAAGAAAGATAGGCTACTGCTCTCATCTCTGGTTCCTATAACTGCCACTGAAAATTCATCTTCTCAGGAATCGTGTCTTCATACAGGAATATATCTTCTTGTGTGCTGGCTGACAGGGCAGTCTTTTCAATTATGTACCTTTTGCTCCTTTTGCTTGCACCTCTGCAGCAGTGTGTGGCTCATCGCACCTTAGGAGAGTTTTTACACGTACCCAGCCTGGGATTCTCTGGAAGCTGCTGTTTTGGTTTATTGTGGTGTAAAAGTCTACTATGGGGCAGGATTTTATTATTTTAAGGACAGTCATCATCTTCATATTATTGTCTGATAATCTAGGGGATACTTTGCTGGTTGAATTCCCAGACCCATCCCTCCCCTGGCCCACGGGTAAAATTTTGATTCAGTAGACATCCAAATACAAAAAAAAATTCAGTTACATCATGATAAAGTTTTAGTATGAAGCATTGTTTAAGTCCAAGTGTCTTGTATTTCCATTTAATCTATATCCTGCAGCTCACCCCAAAGGCCTCAAGGTCTCATCCATGTCAGGAGATCTCATCATTTCTGAGTGAGAATTGATATTCCAGAGTGCATTGTAGCATAAGCAGAGAACATGGCCCAAAGAGGGGAACGGGGATAAAAAGTAACTAAATTAAAACTCCAGGGAGGCAGCACTGCAGAATTTGCTGATTAAATAGTATGAGGTTTGGCTGGAGTACTTTGTTTCTGGCTAGCCAATATTTTGGAGAAAAAAATATTATTGTTCCTTGGAAAGTTTGTGGAAGAAATATGTCTAATTGAAAGAAAGAACGTCATTGAAAATGTTTCAGCAGCAATTTCCAGCAGCAACCTTCCAAAGAAAACACCGACCAGGCCTTCGAGTGACTCTGGCTTGCTTCCCAAGAGGACTTTTTGGCAATCCAGGAACACACTACACATATATGTAAGCAATTCTTGCTTAGTGAGAGGCTTTGTCTTCTTTGGAGCAGAATGCACAGATTTACAAAGATTTATGAATGTAAGGAATAGTACATTATGCAGTCAACAACAAAAAAAATGCTGTTCACCTTTATTTGCAGCAGATACCCTGTAGACACCCTGCAGAACCTGCACTGCTTCCGTGCCTGGCTGTGCATTTTGGAGGCTCTTCCCAAAGGGTCCTATGAACTCAGTGTAGCTTTCCTTCCCCACCACTGATCCAAGAGAAACAAAACCTGTTCAGCATGGAAATCTCCACGCCAGGCTGAAATCCCACATGCATCCATATGCATTTATCTACATATGAACCATCTGGTATCCAATAAGTCTCTCCTTGTCTTAAGCATTAAGTTTGCTTATTTGCATTTCACCTGGGGACTCAGATGGTGAAAGGCAATTTGTAGGGTTGAAAGCACCCAACTGTTTCCAATGACACAATTTTCCATAATGTAGCCGTTGCCTGGGAAGGTGCCTGTGCATCCTGAAATGTGCCTGTGCAGTGCCATGCACATGGCACACAATCCTCCATGTGTAGTCTTTCACTGACAGAGTATCTATCCATGATTGCAAGGGGGGTGGGTTTGGGCTGTAACTGGCCCCTATGGCAGGGTTTTGTAC